AAAAACTTTCGTATATGAATTATCATCGTCAAAGCCTTTTCCCAACTAATTGGGGTCGGCTACATGAATCTTGGCTCGCCATTCTGGTCTATTAAGGGCCATACCCTCAGTGAGGTTATAAGTTCCCATATCTTTTCTCATTACTTCCAACCTTGTCCGTTTGGGCATAACCCTTGCCCTTTTTACGCCTTTCACTTGAACTAACTCGCACATCCTAACAAGTGTTGTACTGGACCTGCACCACATTTGGCCAGCCACCTATGTCTCTCATCTTATTGCCTATTGGTGCCACACCTAAATTTTTCATTCATTTCAAGTTCTATCCCTTTTTGTCTTGCCACTCATGCATCTCAACATCCTCATGTCTGCTACACCCATTCTATGGGTATATTATTTTTTGACCGTCTAACATTCCGCCCCATAGAGGAAAACTAGTCTCACAACTGTCCTATAGAACTTGCCTTTCAACTTCATTGGTATGCGGTAGTCACATAAACTTTTGGATGCACATCTCCACTTCGCACATGTAGCTCTAATTCTATGTGCGATATCTTCCTCAATCTCTTCATTTTTCTAGATTATCGCCCTAAAATATCGAAAGTACGTTCTTTTTAGTATTTCCTGATCGTCAATCTTAACTACTTCCTCGTCTCTATTCTTATTATTACTATACTTACATGCCATATACTGTCTTTGTTTGGCTAATTTTAAAACCTTTAGATTCTTGAGCATCCCTTCAAAGTTCTAACTTTATGTTGACGCCGCTTTAAGTCTCATCTATCAAAACTATGTCATTTGCGAAGAACATGCACCATGGTACCTCATCTTGTAGGTACCTAGTTAAGTCGCCCATATGTTGACCTTTGATGTAGACATATTGTCATTGAAAATTCACTCGTCTCTCCACTAGTTGTTCTTACACTAGTTAGCGCTCCATCGTACGTATCTCTCACCAAGTCGATGTTGTGTCTGGATATGCCTTTGTTTTCCAACACCCACTAAGTTAAATTTCAACGTATTCTATCATAAGCTTTCTTTAGATCAATAAAGACCATGTGGAGGTCTTTTCATTTGCCCTAAACTTCTCAATCAGTTGCCTACGTAGAAAAATAGCTTAGGTTGTTGACCTCCCTAGCATAAAACCGAATTGGTTTTTCGATTTCATGCCTTAAGTCTTTGCTCAATTACTCTCTCTCAGAGCTTCATAGTGTGGCTCAATAAGTTTGATCCCTTGATAGTTCGCACAATTCTGTATGTCTCATTTGTTCGTGTAAATAGGTACGATAGTACTTTTCCTCCATTTATCTGACATTTTTTTATTCTCAACACCTTGTTGAACAACTTGGTCAACCAGTCAATGCTAATCTCCCCACTTAGAAACCTCTATCGGGATACAATGCGGTCTTAAAGCCTTTCCTATATTCATCATTTTTTAAGATTCTTTCACTTCCGATAACCTAATCCTACAAATGTATCTATGACCTTCGTCTTCATTTATGCCAACGATTCTTTTTACCGCCATGTTCTCATTGTGTTCGTCATTAAATAATTTTTGAAAATAAAATTCTCGACCATTCGTTGACCTCTTCATCCTTCACCAAGACCATTTATCCTCACTTCTAATGCATTTTATATGGTTTAGATCCCCACACTGTTTCTCTCTCTTTTTTGCTAATTTGAAGACATCTTTCACCATTGCTTTTTCCCAGTTTACTGTATAGATTATCATATGCCTTAAATTTAGCCTTATTTACTATTTGTTTAGTGTTTTTCTTAGAATTTTAAATTCTTTTAAGTTTTGATCATTTCTATTATCCTTCTAAGTTTTATAACATGATTGTTTTTCACTAATGGCCTTCCGAACCTCATCACTCCACCCCATGTTTCTTTATCGAAATTTTTTTTCCCTCTAAATTCTCTTAAAACGTCTTTTGCCACTTTCTTAATATAGTCAGCCATCTAATTCAACAAAATATTGACCTCATTATCGAAGTTCCATTTTCCTTTTTAAAATAATTTATCCCTAAATAAGTCTATTTTCTTATTTTTTAAATTCCAAAAACAATTAACTTGCTGAAGTCTTCCTTTTAGAGTAAATTCCACTTACAAAATAATTGAAGTATGTTAGAGGCATAAATAAAATTGAAAATGAGTCCACATAACTATTAAAACATTATAGATGCATGTAATTTTTATCTTTATCTATGAGTAAAAGTCTATCCTGCATGAATTGAATATTATGCATTTTCCTTTGATAGATTGCAAAAAAAATGCAATAATAACTAAAAGAGTAATGATCCTATAGGACTCTCCCCCACCCATGTGTGTAGGACCCCAAAAGATCACCATTAAAGTTGGCATAGATCTCTAGAAAAGTTATCACATGGGTGTGGGACTTGACTTTTCTAGATATCTGTGCCAACTTTAATGGTGATCCTTTGGGGTCCTACACACATGGGTGGGGGAAGGTCCTATAGGATCATTTCTCTAACTAAAATACTGCTAGATCAACCAAAATTATTCATTAATAAGGCAAATTTATGAAGGAATTATCTACAAAGATCTTTTATACATGGAGGTCACAATCATTCCCACTCATTATATGTCAAATTGGATGGCTTCGGGTGAGTCATGAAGTCCGAGAATTTTTCTTTTGAAACTTTATGTCTATTCAATGACAATCTTACAACCACCCATTTTGAAATTTAAGGGACAAGAATGATTGTGACCTCCACGTACAAAAGATAAAGGGTCTCTTTGTAGACAATCCCATTTATGAATTTAAAGTGAAAGAAAAAAAAAAGGAATTTACCTGAAATTTCGAGCAAAACTCTTGGTTCCCATATATTCATACTCATATCAAATTTACACCTCTAAATCCCCTCAAAGCTTCCTAAGCCAACTACAATGAAGCCCCTAAACTAGTTTTGACCTTCTACTTTGTATCGGGAGATCTGAGCACTTGAATATTTTGGATGAAAAGAAATTCCAAATTTTCAATCTCTCAAATCCTGAACTTTTTTTTTTTTGGTGTTTTTTGTGAAAAACATGCAATATGGGTGGATTACCATTCCAAAAGTAGGCTTAGATATCAAATTCCATCAAATTGAACCATCCATTGCAAACAAATCACAATTTTTAATTTCAAAGAACCCTTGGCCAAAATTTATAATCTCTCAAGTTCTTCAGATTTGAGGTTTTTTCTCAAATCCAATGTTCCGAATTCAAATTTTCGCCTCAGTAACATGGGCAAGTCTGAATACTCCTCTCTATCTTGAATGCTTACTTATGTTCCATAACTTTGTAAAAAGGACCATGGTTTGAGGTTGACGGACAAGTAATTGTTCTTGTGGCAAAAAGTTAAAAGAGCTGAATATTTTTATATGCTTAGAGACTACCACTCTCAACGTGATACTTTTAGGATAGTGGCACTCTTAAGGTACTTATAAAAGTCAAATGATATAAATGTAAAAGTGTAATGCGACTAAAATATAATGTAGTGTATAATATAATGTAATGTATAATAACATTATAATATATTATGTGGTGTCTAAAGCAAAAATGTAGTGTTTTTGATAATACCAAAATATAATTGATTTTTTATTTACATGTCCATGTCCTATATAACATGATAAATATGAGATATTTGGATAAAAATAAAAGATGTAAAGACACAAAATGTATCCTTATACAACATAGGATAGACTAATTTTATGTAATGTATGCCATAGTTACTCGAATCTCTCACCAAAGGTTGCGATTCCGATTCTAAACCCCGATTTAGAAATTTCGACTAGGAATCTTCACGGAATCTGTTTCTATGAAGTCTAGAATCTCGATTCCAATACTTATAGAATCTTACTTCCAATATTTGTTAGTTTTTTAATTCCACAATTGGTGAATCTCGATTCTACACTTGTTGAAATTGATTTCCACATTTATCGAAATTCTATCACTTCCCCCCTTTTTTTTGTTTTTTGTTTTTTTCCCCTTAGAAGTAATGTTAAGTTTTCAAGGCATCAAACTACTCAAGCTAGACGTTCAATCCCAAGCTACACAAGCTAGACACTCAATCCCAAGCTATAAGGTGTGATCATCTTTTTTGGCATGAAATTACCAGAAGAAACCAAAGTGGAGATCCACATTCTCTACTTAATTTATTCATCTAATGGAGAGATTGCAACTCCGAGATGTTAAAAATAATTTAGTACAAATAATGTAAACATGCATGTATGACATGTCGGTCAATGAATGGCATTGAGAATGTATTTTTTCCTTCTTAGTGCCCTCTCGATTCCTAAAATATCGGAATCTCGATTCCATATTGGTCGATTTCAACTAGGTTGGAAACTCAATTCCAACTAGGTTGGAAACAAGATTCCAATGAGCAAGGAATCTCGATTCCATCTACGTAGGGATCTCGATTCTATGATGGTTGAATCTTGATTCCTAAAAATCGGAATCTCGTCCTCCGCGATTCCTCTTGTATAGACGTCGATCCCAAAAATAGGAATTTTCCAGCCAGCAGTGATTCCTCGCTTCCAATTCCTAAATTGATTCAGTTTCCGAATCGCTTTTGGAAACTATACTGTATTTGTATGTATTAGTTGTGTACTGCACTATTTATTATGAAAACCAAATGTGTTAACATGCACCCACAGACACATGGATGATAGTTCTATATATCCTTCATGTTAGATATTATGATAAATGCTGTTGTTATTTGGATGTCTTAAATTGAAAATTTGAAATTATTCCTTTCAAGGAACTGAAATTTCTTAGATGAGAATCCTACCAAACATATTCTAGTTTGTATCGAAATGCAAGTTCATTTGGTTTTCTTGGAAACATAGATGGCATTACTAAAAAACAATCTAGGGGCTATATTTGCAGCAGAGATTAGTGACTATTGTGGTTGATATAACTGTTAGATGCATGAATTAATGTGATTAGAGCTCCTAATGGTACTTGAGTAACAACATTCTCCTTTGTTTTTGCAGAAGGGGACATATGATGCTGAGAAGAAGATGGTACAGCTTCAAAGCGAACTTATAGGGAATGCCACAAAGGTAATCCCTGCCATGAACTTGGGAGTACCCATTTCTAATTACTTATATGCTAGAGAACAACTATCTTGATTGTCAAACAAGTAAGATCTCAATTCTTTATGTCAATATTTCCTTTTTGGAGCTAACTATATTTGATGGGACCTACTTTCCCTCCATCATCCAATCCATTGGTTGAGCAGATGGCCCTTATGACTATACAGTCTTGATCAAGTTTTGGCGAAGTTGCTCAAAGATGGAAGTCGCCCTTGGCCAGTATGATCTACTTGGGCAAGTCTTAGTCAACTCACCTAAGTTTGCCTCAAGTCATCCAAGATGCCCAAAAAAGTACTTTAATTTTTGTAAATTATGAACTTTAATAAAAAATAAGAAAAAAAAAACATAAGAAATAATAAAAGTATATATAACATAAAATTGATGTTGAATTTAAATTAGATCTATCAAGAATAAATCAATCACGAGAATTTAAACTGAACGAATTGAAATTTAGGCAACATTTTTAGGGCTGATCCTCTAATCTCTGTGCACTGAGTGAATCGATGCCTCCAGTCTTTCTCAAACCATCCTCAAACTCTTCTCAAGACCAGATTTAGGGTCCGAGTTTGGATTTAATCTATCCGAGCTTGTGAAAATTGGGGGTGACTGTAGAATATAAAATTAAAATTTCGCAAATCTGAGTTTTTTTTTTTTTTTTGAGCTACATGCCTATGATTGGATAAAAAAGAAAATCACATGCCTATGATTGTGAAGAAATCACAATCATAGGCATGTATAAATTAATCAAAACCTTAGTTGAAATCACAAATTGTATAAATTGAGCTACATGCCTATGATTGTGAAGAAATCACAAATTGTATAAATTAATCAAAACCTTAGTTAGAATCTTTGATCTCTTTTATTCTATTAAGTATGATGATTTTTATAAAATTTGATATATCTAGTGGATAGAGATCATACTAATCGAGTGAATAGGCAAAACGTTTGGGCTAAAATGGCTGTCTATCATCAAAAATGAAAAAGGGGATGGATATCCCTCACTAATGTTTTGATTTCAGTATTGAACTTGGACGAATATTGATGAATTGTCGAGTACTCAAAAACTCACCTGACTCTGATGGTGCTTGGGTGAGTTGTTATGATAAATTGGCCACATTGCTGTAGATTTCTATATATCCCCGAGTTAGAGGATTATGGGCCCAAGCGACTTGGGCAAGTCTGCTCTTGCAAATACTGGGTGTGATGATAATATGGATTATACAGTCCTTTCTATAGATTTGTTTGTGTTCTTGTGGTCCCATTATCCGAATGGACTGAAATAATTTTGTGCGGTCCCATGTCTTTCAATTCCTCTTTGAATTACAATACTATTGAACGTTGTGAAATTAATTGTCACAAATGCTTTGATCGCTCTTCCTTAAACTACTCAAATTTTGTTTAACTTCGTGAATTTAGTAATCATGAAAGCTTAGCTAATTTCAGACACGACTTACCTAGCTGCTTTTTCAAGTCTGCATCTTGGACATATCATGGATTATGTCTATCTTTCAAGTAGGTGTAATGTGCATCTAAACATTAAAAACATAAAATGCACTATGTCACTGGAATGTTTTTTTTTTTTGAAACTGGTAACTGTTTATTACTGGAATGTCTTTGGTAGGAGTTTCTCAAAGAACTGATTCATATCTCAGGCATATAAATCCTAGCAACTTTCAATTCCCTTTTATGCAAAACCTAGTATATGAACTTTTGGAAGGAACAGTGATCCCAATGCCATTACCATTGTGATTTTTGTGAAAATTGAAAAACCTCTGATGATTCAATCCATAGATTTTCAAGAGATTGGACCGTCAATTTTCTAGATTTTGAAAATTTTTCATTTTTTCACCATCAATACCTGATTAGCCTAATCGATTGGATATGAGAATACTGGTTGAGCAGTGGTTGGGTGCTTCCCGTTGTCCCAGATCTCCCCAGACCCATGCAGTTCTTTTTTTTTGCTCCAATCAAGTTGGACATGTGTAGTCCTCCCAATGTTCATTAATAGCTATAAATACTGTGGAGTAGTGGACCTTTTCCAGATTTTAGTGAACATAAGGCATCTCTAGTTTGGGCTTGCTTGGGGCTGTGAATCTTTCCTTCTTGCCTGAGGCTTCTGGTAGATTTTATGGCAAAGTGTTTGTGTTGCTTGGAATCATTCTTTTGATTTTGTGAAAATAAATTCGATTGCAATTTGAAATGTTTATTTTGTTGCCTACTCAAGCTGTTCTTATGGGCTTCTACTCGATCATCCTTTGTGGTGTGGACTTCATGTATATTCTTCTACTTTGGCATGTTGCTACTCTAAGGTGGACCCCCTTGTTAAAATGTGAGTTCTAAGTTTTTTAAAATAATCAGCAAAGATGCATACTAAAAAAAAAAAAGAAAATGAAGAAGAAAGATTTTGACTTGTTTTTTTTTTTTTTAAACGGATGAAAGATGACTTTTTTTGTAAGCATATTAATTCAAAAAGAGCAAACGAAATGTGGAAAACGGAAGTGATGAATGTTGCTTTCTAACAGATTGTACCATTTGCAGGTGAGAGAAATAACCCGAACTTTTGAGTTTATTAGTGGAGAACTAGTTTACGTGGTTCAGATGGCTACAAATTCAACAACTCTACAGCCGCATTTGAGAGGCCTGCTTAAGAAGATATGATTGTTCATCTTTATCAACAGAGGACCCCGTTTTCCACCTTTTCCTAACCTCTTTGGAGCATTTATACTCCCCATGTACTCCCCTCCCTCCTAAATCACAATTTGAAGAAGATGATTGAGAGTTGGCGCCTTATCTATTCTTAGTTTAGGCTTGGTTTGATAATTTTTTACTATTTCACAGAGAACTCTTGAGAATACTTGGGGTTCTAGAAACATCTGAAAGTTAGTGCAATCATTTTCTCCGGTTTGATAATTTCCATGGGAAAGCGAAGCAGTTTTCCCTAGAACTTGTCTGAAAAATTGGTGTAGTAAGTTTCATATGGGGAACTATTTTATTCAATAGTGCGATATTAAAAGTTTATTTTAAATTTGTAAATTACAATTTATTGGAAATCGATCTCAAAAGTATGTGTAAACTTTGTTGGTTTTCATATAGCTTGATAAATTTATCAAAATTTCCACAAAAATGATCAATCTATTTTGAATTGAACCAAAAAATTATTGAATCCTATAAATATTCGTCAATTTATGTGTTATTTAAAAATTTTAAAAATGGAAAAGTTTATATAGAGCCGAGGCTCTAAACAATCAAATTAGAGCCTGCATAAAAAATTTCACTAGAAGAAGTTATTTTGATGTTCAAATTTCTTCAAATTGATCATCTCGATCTCAAGATGCATGAACATGAGAAAAAAATGAATTTCAAGTTTTAGAAATGGTTGTATCCGGTCTAGTTCATTTTGATAGCTCAATTATGAATCCTTGTGGTCTGTGGGTCATGGTAATTGTTGGGCCAGTTTGAGAAAGCAAATGTGAATTATAGTCCATATTAGAAGATAGAGTGCTTCAACAATATTATAAAATCTTAGACTTAGATGTATTCGATTATCACCAAAATTATTTGGTTTTAATTATTTTGATGTTTAATGATTTTTAGATTGATTATTTGAATTTTTATGAGTATTTGGATATTTTATTTTTACAAAACAAATTTATAGAATAAGAAATATTCAATTTTAGTATTTAAATATTCAAAGGAATATAAAATTTAAGTATATTTTCCAAAATCTAAAAATGAATTTTATTATTTTTAAAATTCATAGGAGATTTGAAAGCCCATTACGGACCTCAATGGGATGTGCGTTTGGGCCCCACTAGGGCCTCTAGATGGCACACTCTACTTATTTTGGATTATGTATTAATTAAGATCATGTCTTGTTGACTAAGATAATCTTGTTGACTTAGTCAATTAAAAACAAGATATGCTTTATGGAATCCAAAGGAGTTTGGACTCTTAAAGGGAATAGAAAAGAGATTTAAACAAAAAGAGGTATTACCTCATATTTTCCATAACTTAATATTTGATGGAATAAAGCTCGGGAAGTTAAAGGATAAGGTTCTGTATCATCATTTGGATCATGATGATTGATCTAAGGTTTGAATGACACAAATCTCTTACCCCACAGGTAAAGCACCCTGCATCTCTCATTCTTTGCACAAAATACCTCCCTTCTTTTCTCTTTGATCTATGTTGAAGTGCCACACTACCCTTGGTTCTTCTCTCTCTTTCTTAAGGTCTCTTCTCTCCTTTAAGAGAGATAGGGGGCATGCCCCATAAGAGATCGAAAGAGGGGGCATGCCCCATAAGAGATCGAAAGAGGGGGCATGCCCCACTTAGTTCAAGAAGGTGGCACGCTTCACTCAAATTGTTCTAAGGCATTGAGGCCTTGACCATATTTGTTCCATGCTCTCACATTTGGGGGATAACCTGAGCTTTCTCATACTTGGCAGATTCGAGATAGACCATTTGATCTCGTGCACCAATGAAGGAGGAGACCGGGTGTGGGGTGTTCTAAGTTCGGTTGAGATAATCTTATGGTTTTTTTACTTTATGTTTTGCAATCTATTTATTTCTTGTCATTTCTTATTCCAATAAAATAAAGTTGTAATTAGTGGAAGTAAGTGAGAACCACTTTTAGTTATTTATTTATTATTTTGAGTCGATTTTATTGTAATTAGATCATTGTAAATGTTCTAGTCGGTGTGAGAAATAATAATAAAAAAAAGTATATACATCGTGCTATATCACCTTGTCCACCTTTCAATGGTATCAGAGCGAGAGTTTCATGCTGCCCATAGGAATTTTTATTTTCTTTTAGAATTGTATTATCTTGGGAAAAGAAATATTGCTGCACTCATGTTTATCTCTGAGATCCCAAAGACCGAAACGTTCGATGAAACAAACTACCCCTCATGGAAGCGCAAAATAGGCTATGGGCTTTATGATGAGGGTTTGAATAAGATATTGTCTCAGCGTCGTCCTCGCTATCCGAGAAGCAACTCATCACAAGCTACAAAAGGCACATACACTTCATGGAAGCATAAAGACATGTGTGCTAAGCATATACTACTTTGCTCTATGACTGACTCATATACATCCGAGTATGCACCAAGTAAAACGATAAAAAGGTATGCATGAGAGGCTTGAGAAAGAATAAGTGGATCCTACCCTTATGAGGCAATCTATAACGAACTAAAGATGGTCAAAGGCGCAAAGATAGCAGAATATGTGCATACTTTTTGTGCACTTCTTCAAGAGATGGAGGCTACCTGCATGAGACCCTGGAACCAATGAAAATGGTTCACATGATGAACTCTCTCCCTAATTCATGGGAGGCTTTTGTCACATCCCTATCTGCTCGATAAACGGCTCCAAGACTAGAGGAGCTCGTTACTTTTCTCAAAGGAGCAACACGCACACTGGGTCTAAAAGAAACTGTACATATGGTAAAATCTCCACCCTTCTTTAAGCCTAATAAGGGAAAGGGAAAGAATACAAATAACGAGAGAGACAATAGGAAAAGGAAAGAGACGATGACTTGTCATGTATGCAAGAAAGTTAACTACATAACTAAAAATTGTTGATTCAACAAAAATCCTGGGGCCAACAACGACATTGCATGTGTGGTCTTTACTAATCGACCCCAAAGGAACATCTGGGTATCTTGAGTTGGAAGCTATGACTCACGTAACAAAAAACAAAGATGGCTTCTGTGCTTTTGCTCCTGTGAGTCCAGGTGAGCAACACATATTTATGAAAAGAAATCAAAAGATCGAGGTCTTAGGGGTTGGTGATTATGTGCTTGAAATGAAGAATGAAAAAGTCTTGATCCATAAACAAGCACTTTATGCTCTTGAAATGAGGAAGTGCTTGGTTTCGGGTCCTAAGATGGCTAAGGCCGGTTTTGTCACCACCTTCCATGGAGGCAAGATGTTAAGGTCCGAGACTTTTTCGGTCGTTGATTCTGTTTACATTTTGAATCATTTCCTATTAATGCTTATCTCAGTTTTCTTTTTGATTTGTTGTATAACCTCTTTCTAGTGTTTTGAGTGGTACTATGTTGTTGTAGGGATCACGAGCTTTCCGATCGTATAAAAATTGCTTAAATTTGAGCAACCGTTGTTGAAGGGTATTTTTTGACACTTGTTATCCCCGGTACGCATAAGGAGAGAGCAATTTGCGACCTAGGTCCGTGGGTACCAACATGCTTGTGGACCACATAAGTAGGAGTATAATAAGCCCTAATTTAGAGTTGAATTTTCAGCACTCCCAGAATGGCCTAAAAATGATTAAAAATATGGTTGACGGTGGGTCTCCTAAGAACAACTACCAAGTTTCGTCACACTCCGACGTAGTTAAGGCAGATCAGACGCTAAAATAGTTTTCAAAATCCTGCCTCTAGCATTATAAAATAAGACCTTGCAACTACAGCCCTATCACCGGTGCTTCAAATGATCAGCATACCACTTTCGTTGGATTTAGAACGTTCGAAAAATCCCCGGGTACAAAGTTTCGGCTTATTCAGATGTTTTTAGACCAATCTGCGGCTAACTTACCAAAAATAGGTAGGCCGCATGCAATCCTGGTGCACCCTCGGCGAACCAGCTTCCACTTATGGAAGCTGTGTTTTCCAATTTCGGGTTGGACTTCCCATGGCCGTATCTCCTTCATCCTACGTCAGAATGAGTTTAAAATTTGGAGAGTATGTTTGTCTCATCGGCTCGATCTTTTTGATATATGGCATGCCCGATGGCATAGCCTAAGCCAAGAGAAATCAAAAGAGAGAAGATCGCCATGGAAAAGCAGAAGTTGCAGGAAGTTTGAAGAAGAAGGTCCCTTTGATCAAACAGTCGTATCACAATGCTTGCATACCTGATCGGCCTGAAAATGGATGCATCGCGACCACAAGGTTGAGGACTTCATTCGTGCCAAACCTCGCGCGTGACAAACGATCGGATTCACTGTATTTTAGGGACTAAGAAGAGGCAATTTCTAGCCATCGGAATTCCAATTTCGGACAAAATTCCCCAGTTGAGAAAGTGGTCATTCGGGCACCAAATCGAGCCATTCTTGTTGCAAAATGATCATGGTGACTTGCTCTTCAATCTACAACAAAGAAATCGAGGAAAACAATCAAGAAATAGGTGAGATCTTGAATCTAAAATTGTAAGATTCTCACAAATCTTGTTGCCTCACGTTAGCGGCCCAAAACGTCGATTCATGACTCAAAACCTATACCAAAATGACCACCACACCGAGCTCTACAAGTTTTCAATATTATTTTGGCTGGACAACGGCCGGAAGAGCCCCATGATAGCCACAAGAATTTCACGTGAGTTCATGGCCGTGGCAGGGATTGATCTGAAATTACTCAGCTTGTTGTGGGCACGGGGAAAAGTCGTCATTTTACCCCTAATTTTTAGCATTTTTTAACTAAACAAGGATCTATTTTTTAGCAATTAGGTTAGTTTTTGGGCATCCACCCATGTTTCCCATGGTTGCCTATAAATAACCTATGGATCCTTTTTTGGATGACGTTTGATCCCAAGGTCTTTGGATAATATTTCGATTCCCCCTTTACTTTTACATAAAAGCTTCCTTTTGAGAGCTCTTTGTTTTGAGTTATTTTGCTTACTATTCATTAGAGAGAGAGGAGAGAGAATATTTTACTCGTTGCCCTTGATCTTAACCGCCGAGTCAAGACCCAATAGGTAACTCTCTCCCTTCCCACATGTGAAGCGGGGGTTGGCAGCCAGGCCGTTAGCTCCGCCTCTTGTCTCTCTCCTCTTCTCTTCCTTTTCTCTCTCCTCCCTCTCTCTCCCCTACTTCTTACTCTCTCCTCTTTCTCTCTCTTCTTTCTCCCTCCTCTCTCATCTTCCGTTCTTTCTCCTCCTTCTCTTTCTCCTTCTTTTCCTCTTCTTTCTCTCTCTCCTCCTTCTCTCTCCTTCTTTCCCTCTCTTCCTTCTCTTTCTCCTCTTTCTCTTTCCTCCTTTCTCTCCTCCTCTCCTCCTTCTCTCTCCTCTTCTT